TAGGACTGATCAAGTAGGTATGCTTGAGTAAGCTATTGTATGGTTGTATAGCGAAACAGCTTCTCATAGTGAAAATCATAATAAACTATATCAATAAAAATGTTTATGACATGCGAGATCTAAACTCTCACACTTCAGTCTTATCCATTTTAATAATGAAAAAACATCTGTCACTTCTTCCATTCCATATACTCCAAACTACATTCCGTTATTTTAAAAACTTCTCAACTGTCTGCTGGAGAAAGGTATAAAGTAATTATAGAGAATGATTGATGGACTATAATCATATTTCCGACAAAAGTGATTTCGTCATTCAGTTTTTTCAGAAGAATAACATTTCAATTATTCAGCTTTCTCTATGATGTATGTTGTTTAAAATAGTTAATACAGTAAAATAGTTTTTTTCAAGTTGTTGTTATCGAATTACTAATGAGAAACACCGTGGCATAGTTTTTGCCATCTATTGCAAACTTTGTTGATTTGTCTGCATATCAGCTCAAAAGTCTTTTATATAGTTACTTTATTTCTTTTATTCGTATTGTCACCCTTAATTTTCAGAATAATAGTATCTGGATGAGATCTGGGTTAGTTATGACAACAAAATACTGTTTCCGTCATAGGTAAAGTAATGTGAACTTTAGTATGAAGAAATGTGAAAAGTCTTAACAAATATTCAGTTATTCAGGTATTGCATTGATAGAGGACACGTTTCTGAAAATATTATAGTGGAATGACATCGTAAAAGTGAAAGTTCTGTAGATGAAACAGTGCAATGTGTGACAATACGAGAACTAATAATACTAACCAAGGGCTCATTAAAGTCTTATCCTTAGGTCAGTATTTCATGAAAACATATACCACTACAGTGGATTGATTATGTTATGAAATTTTCAATTTTTTTAGAGAAGGCGTTACCTGTCATTTTATTTTGAATCGTATATAAAAACTGAAGAATGTGCAGTGAACTTGAAATTCTGGGAATGACAGTGTATTATATGGAATAACTAGTAGAAACTGCAAGAGGTTAACCTGGAATAATATCGAGCGCTCGTCGGAGAGTAAAGAATAATAATTTCAATTTATTTTTGGTAAGAAACAACATATTTATCAATTAGAAATTGCGTACCCTAAGTACTCTTCTACCGAATGAAAATTCAATTGTTTCATCTTCCTTTTAAAAGGGATGAGATCGAGATTTATCCATTCACGTTGTAGCTTATACAGCGCTCATACCATGTGGAAAGGATTAGAGGCAGCTGTTGGTTTACAGATGAAACAAAAATACCTTTGGATTGGTGTGCAGATCTGTACTGTCCCAGACCCAGAACAGAAGTAACAACTGAGCTATGGACCTATGCGAGTGCATTTCAAGCGACAATCTTTGCCATTGATTTGTGTGTGGAGAAATTGGCAAAAACAACTTCATCTATAAATTAATATAAAGACAGCCAAACGACTTTGGAAATACTTTGCTCTCACCGAGCTACGTCCAAGTTGGTATTGTACCACCAAAAAAGAAACTCCGCAATAAAAAGATGCAACAAATTGAATCTGGTCTAGGATTCCTGACCATACAGGCCAGGTTGCCTTCCGGCAACCAAGCTCCTGAAATCTATGAAATGGAGGGCACTGCAAACTGTTTCATTGGACAAGAACATATCACTAACTTCGCTTCAGGCTTTGCCCAACAGTAAATAATAAAACCTTAATTTTCAACACTTCGACACGTGTTTGAATCACCAAGTGATCATTTTTAGTTAAATCTTCTTCTGTGATCACGTGACTGAAACACGTGTCGAGGTGTTAAAAATAACGGTTTGTTGTTGGGATAGAACTCAAGTAATATTCATTACTACACCAATAATTCCAAAAATCATTTTTCATCCTCGAGAAATAATGACTCATTTACGAAGTGATTTTAAGCAATACAGCATTTATCCTTATACAATTAGATATCTTAAATATATTATGTATTTAATATAGATCGATATGGCCTCTTACAGCATGTAATTTAAATGAATATTTTCGAAAACATTACAGATTTGAAATGCGGTTGCGGCGGTACCGGCCAGGGGGCCGGTCACTTCTTTTGAAAAAGTGATCACCGATATGTAACTCTAGGAAACGATTCAGGTTACCTTGTAGCAATAAAATCTGTCTATCATTGGTTTCAATTATCTGTGGAAAATGCAGGTATTAGGTACTTCGAGGAGATGCGGTATGGAGTTGGCGCATAACTTTTTACTACCTTATGTTTCTCTGAGCTAGAAAACACACGAAAATGATGATAACTTGTTAATTTCGACCTTGTACAGTCAAGAACTTTGAAGGTTGCCGATGTTACGTAGTCGTCAACTGGTCAACGGATAAACCTATTTCAAGACAGTTCATCCATCGTAGTGCTCTAGGAAGTTTTTATATTGAAAAAGAGAAAAATTCTTCATATTTGTATAAGTTCTGGAATATATCTGAAGTCAAAAAATATTATCGGTATCGTAACAATATCTACAGTTTACTTCTTGTTTAAAAATTGACGATAGAATCGACCGTAGATTTGAGAATTGAAAGTTATGATGTGACTTATTAGCAAAGAATTCAGAATTTGGAGTACCCAATTTTATACATTCATTTCCAGTAGATATTTTTGAAATGTTCAAATTTCTTTCATTTCAATTTGTGTTTCATTGCAATAAACCTATAATGAATTCAAACTTTAAATTTCAGTACTCATCACTTTTCATATCATGAATGAAATGATACTGCAAACATGTGTTAATGAAAACTAAAAATACTTCCTTTCACTATTCACTTTTATGCGAAATTTATTTACTAACGTGTCATCAGAGCTTTACAAAAAAAAATCAAATTTTCAATGAATTCTTCATCAGATATGCCGGAGATATTGAATAAAAGTCATTTTTTGTGAAGGGATTCAAAGTTTTCATTGCCTTTTTTCAGGGATTTCCACAATTCGAAGGGAAAATAAAAATTGTAATGGAGAGTATATTTATTGTAAGGTGAATATTTTGATACACTCCGATAAGACGCATGAATTCGGAGTATTTTTTCGATACATATTTTGACCTTGTGAAGGCCAAAAGAAAATAAAACTAATTTAAAAAAACTGCTAGTTACATTTCATACAATTATGAAGACGAGGAGATATTTTGTTCTTCGAAATGTTAAAATGAGTATCTCTGCAATTCTTTTTTTGATCAGCGAAATTATTAAATACCCGTTACTGATGAATAGCACATTTTTCTTCCTGAAAAATACTGTGAATTTCTACAAATTCATACATAACGGTAACTAAAAAGTTTGTATTCTCACATCTGTAAGTAGTTTTTCATTACAATGGAAGATGGAATTCACTGTAAAAGTCGATAGAAAATGTCAAAGTTCTTCGATTAGTTGAAATTAGGCAGATTTTCACAAGAATCCTATCATTTACATCGAGAAGTTGGAGAAGTTTGGATGACACTTTTGTGGCAGGATTTTTGAAATACCCAATATTATATGTTTATTAGATGAATCTTCCTCTTAAAGATGATCACTTGGTGATCGAAACAATTGTCGAGTTGTTAAAATAATGGTTTGGTGTAGGGAAAAAACTCCAGTAATATTCAGTGCTACACCAAAGATTCCAAACAGTGCATCACAACTGGGTTATTCTGTAACATATTTAAAATCATCCCACGCAAGAAATCAGTTTTTCATTTTTAGTGCATTTGTATGAAAGCTCTATAAAAGCTCCTCTTAAAAATGTATTTCAATAAACCTCTGTAACTCCACTAAATCTAATCTCATGAAAAGAAGCCCCTTGTTACTCATAACAAACACACGTACTTTAACCAATATCAGCAAAAATAAGTGTATTATCAATAAAAGAACAATATTTTGAGTAAAACTGTGGCATCCCGGTTCTTCTTTGGTTTTTTAAAAAATTATTTTTGAATGAACCAATTAGCTATCGATTCTGCAACATATTGTCTGAAGAAAAGCGTTCAATTGTCAAGTCAGCTATTTTATTTCTATATCTACTAAATATACTTGCATTCGTTAATATCACTACGCCTCAACACTGCTTCGCACGGGTAGCAAAACCTTACTTTACATGTGTTAGATCAGATCTCTATTTCATTGAGAATAATTCAGCATCTTTCATACATTTGAAAAAATTACAGTTGATCTCATTCCAAAGATTATCACAATGAGAGTAGAAATCGTGAAGAATGAGAATTGATACTTCCTATGTTTTTATACCACTTGTATTTGTAACTGACGTTACTGCAGTTTCGTCCTATAAGGATATCTGCAAACTAATACAATATTTTCAGGATGGCCGTATATCCTCAGAGCACGAAACTGGAGTAACATCAATTATAAGTGGTACAAAAAACATAAAAAGTTTTATTTATCATTATTACCGGCTACATCCATCAATTTATCAAAACCAGAAATTGTTGAATGATTTGGACCTTCTTTGTAACTGAAATTCATATGTAGGAAGTTGTGATAATGAAGTTTTTGTAGTTTAACAAAAAAATCGATAATAACCATTTCTCATATATTACCAATTTAAATGAATTTAAATAAAAATTAATCTACTTCAAAAGTTGTTCCACCATGCGTTTTGTTATCTATTACCATCTACAAACTGAAAGTTGAAATGATAATCAACTTCCACCACTACCTAAAGAAAAAAGGCAGCAGCACGTTAATTAGGAGTAGTCGAAAAAATTATCTCATAAAATAATCAAATAAATTTAGTGAAATTAATGGTTTTCTAAGTATTTCTTCTATTTTATTTTGTTATAATAACAATTGCAATTTCGAAAATGTTCCCTCCATTCATGAAATTCGAATATAAACTTTAAATGTATCAACTCTTGCCATAATTTGTATAAACTTCACAAGTCACTTCATTTCACGATCATTACACTTAATCACAGTCACAAAATCCGAGTCCATCAGCAATTTTTCGAAATTTTTCTACCAACCTGTCTTGACCACATGGTGATAATCCAAAAAAATCACATAAGGCACACACAAAGTAAACTACACTACAATGTGAATATATTGGTTGGTTTTTGGAAATAGGAGGCAGCCCAGAAGACTGATGGTTATATAGATTCAGTCTACAGTATAGTCAAGCGAGATGAATCCCCCCTTAACAAAGTTGAGTAAAATGAGTAGAGTTAGGAGGAAGGTTAAACAGACTCGTATAGGATCAAGCGGACATAACAGAGAAAGTAGGATAATGAAAGTAGCCATACCCACTTGTAATAAGTATCACAAAGAACTGATGTGTCCATATATTACAAAAGTACAATCGTGTAAACTTGGAATATTTATCAATTTTCAACAGCACAATGACTTTTGGCAAAAATCCTTATTTGCATTTTGTCGCTACATGAATGAAAAACAATGACTACCTACAAATGTGTATGTATATCTCGCGTGATAATTATTGCTCAGTAGACCGAAACGTCCATTGATGATATAATTCTAATGCTTTTTGCTTTTCTGGAGTAGTTTGCTCGAGGTTATTTATTGTTTAGTTCTTTTTTGCCTGTGATGTAAAATTGAAGATTATCGCCACAAACGTCACATTTTTGGAAGATGTTAGTAGTTTTGTTATTGATTAGTTGTAATAAAATATAATTGTTTTTGGAGATGTGATGAGAGATCAGGGATTAGTGGTTTAATTCTTCGATTGCCTTTTCGTAAGTTAGGAAAATTCAAAAATTGAAAAGTGAATATTGTTAGGATATCTTAGTTTTTGAGAGAGGTGTTAACAATAACGGTTCGTAATCCAAAGATTATTGAGAATATTTGTGAAGGGTTTTGATTGGTGTATGTAATTGTTCTTCTTTTCGTTCGTAGTTTCCGACCTTTTATGTAATGAGGGAGAAGTACAAAGCCAAGAATATTTTTGAAAGTTAAATGGGGTTTCAGGATATATTAACAATTTTGGAATCTGAAAAAAATAAATTGATGAAGTTTTTAAATTACTAACACTGGAATATTCAGATGAGTTAGTTGAAAAAATCGTACGTGGTAATTGAAGGATTAGTTACGTTAATATTTAAGTACGAAGTATGAAAACATAAAAACGCTAACTTGTAGAAAAAAAAATAGTTGAGACTTGAAATGGAAATGAATCAGCTGTTATCATCCATCACCCGAAGACGATTGGATACAGTGGTGAATTTGCGTTTTGAGAGAACCCGGCGATTTCGAAAAACTGTTTGAGTGTACCTACGTATTTTGATGCGTAGATTACGAATCCGAAAGAAAAAAGCGGCGCTGTCTCTTATTTACAAAGTTACGGCCCTTCAAACTTCAGAAAAGGGCGACTTTTAAGCATTCTTTTTCACAAAATAAACTATTTAAAAACACAAACATTTAATCACAAGGTCACCTTTACACCTTATTCCTCCTTCTTTAACCCTTTTCACTTCAATAATCAACATTTTTCTTATAAAAAACTTAATATAAAAACGAATGCTTCTTCTGGTGACATTCTTCTATTTCTAGGTTAGTTACTAGTGACATTTCAGAAAAAAGCGGTTGGTATTTGCCGCCGCCTACTTTTCCAAAATCGTAATACACCATCTAGAACCAATTTACGATCTGAAGAATGAAGGTAAAAAATANTTGGTACATAAAAAAAGGTATAGTTAAAACTGTCTTCAAAGTAAATACTGCACAATCCAAATAAAAAATGATGAATTTAGGGGAAATAAAAGCAGCAAGTTATAAAAAACAAGAAGAAATAAACTCCATTATTCAAAATATAAAAAAGCACTATAAAATAAAGAAGTTATTATTATTATTTACATCCACAATTAACTATCAGATTAAGGTGGTAATGGCTTAGATAACGTGGCCTTCGAAGAGTCAGGAAAAATTTTTCGACATTCCGATACAACTTGTAACAGTCGTTCTTCGTCCTTTGTCAAACAGGAATTGAAGTCTTGGATCAATTTTACACCTCTTCCAGCTGTGCCATTGACAACTTTGAAACCGTTCATTTTTATTGAATAATGTGCATTTTCACACCATATATCGGGATCCGTATTCATAATTCTGTTTAAATTTCAAATCTTTTGAAAAAATTCAGAGTTTGAAGAGAAAAAAAATCAATATCTGTTTAAAATATATTTTTCCGTTAACCAGCTGTCGCACCTCTACAAACGATAACCCTCATAAGTCGAAACTTGTGCGAGCTAAGGATTAACAAGGTCTTACCTTTCAACGTGTGATTCCTAACACGGGTTGGGAGATAGCAAGTGAAAATCGATCGTTTTTCCAATAAATTATCAAATTGATAGAGACTGAGTTTTGCTTCCACATCCCTATCATCAAATGCTTTTTCTACAACTGGAAGACTTTGTAGACGTTTCACAGCCATGCTTGTTTTGACCCTTTTTATCTGAATTTCCATCGAAGAAATGAAATGCGACTGGCTCAGAATTGAGCAACCACAGATGATTTATCATTTTAGACAGGCCCTTGTCTGGAAGTTATTTATCGATTTCTCTATAATTCACAAGAAATTTCAAAAATTGTAGGTCTTGGTTGGGGGCCAAAGTGAGTTCGGGGGCGTTGAACCATGCTTTCACATAAATGTATATTGAAAATAAACAAATGTCAGTTATAGCTTTTTCTTCTAAAAAATTTCACTTTTTACCTTGTGACCACCCTAATATTCCCTCTGTATCATTTGATCTGTTAAAAAAAAACTTTTCAAATATTTTTTCATCAAAAGTGAAACATGAAAAATTCACAAATGAAGACTGTCTTCTGGTCAGAAATGATAACAGTTAATGATACTAAGGATCGAAGCGTTTTGTAAATTTTTTCTTCTATATATCTCACCATCCTTCATTTGTGTTTTTTACAATTTTCAGTATTTGTATGATACTAACATTTTTCTTATTGTTAACTTCTTTCATCAGCATGTGGTGAAATTTGATGAACGAAATGAATTTGTGAGTGTGCTAAGTGAGAGCAGGAAATATTGGGTTTTTCTTCAGTTTTATTTGCATCTGATAATGGTGGATTATCAAATGTTCATGGTTTGTCTAAAAAATTATTTCAGATCATCTTGAAGAGAAGATAAGTCTGTTAACCAACTGAATGAATGAAGTAATGAAGTTACTGTTACAAAAATATTCCGATGGGTTAACCACAACGGTGAAATAATAAAAGAATAAAAAATATTAGGAGTAGAAAATGTCTTTGAAATTTACAAGTATTAAAAAATTAGTTATCATGACCGAATAATTTTCAATACAGACGTAGGGCAGGATTGGCTTCGAACATTTGTTCAGTAAAAGGACATCGTTATAGGAATATGGCATCGAAACAATTAATTTCCTATTCTGTATATATTTTTTCTTGAAGCAATTGTCGGATTCATTTTGATTTCCAAGAGAAATGATTCACAGTTAGTTAGAGCTTTCCATCAAGAACTTCTTATAGTCCACCATTAAGCGAGGGTGATAGCCTCATTAAAATTTTCAAATGAGAAGTCGAATAAGATATCAATTCAAAGACCTTCACGGTGATGTCAAGGTACGTATTTATTTGTAAAAGAAGACCCGTAACGTAACTGCAAACACGTTACGTTACGGTTCGTGGAGTCGGATATCAGTTGAATTTTAGCCTTACCTACCACTTTGACAAGAGTGCTCGTATGACGAGTATTTGTTTGTAACAAGTATTGCGATCTCGTTACGTTACAGCTAATGGAGACGTAGTACTGTTGAATTTTATCCGTACCACTTTGACACACGTACCCATAAGGCACGTTGCATCAAATGCAGCAACGTAATGGCCCATACTCTTAGCTTCCTGAAAAACTAAAGTTATGGGCTTCGATTCATGTCTTCTTTTCAGGTCATTTCGTGGTGTTATAAGATATCATCAATGCCACAAGACTGGCAACTCCTCACCAAATTTTTGCTATTCTTCAATGTTTGAATGAAACTTTTTCCAGTTGGTGAATTGATGACCACTCAAATAGATCGCAAAGTCACCTAATTTTTCGACATGAGATCTTTTTTTTGTTGGGCCACTTGAAAGATTATAATCCATAAATTTCAACCCGTATTGCTAGACAATTTGGATCAACTTATCATTGGTGAAAGTCATATCATGCTTCAGAACTTCCAGAAAAACTGTTTTGGATTCCGGGACATCGGGGGTGGACGCACATCTAGAAGTAATTTCGAATCGGGGTGAAAGTGAGCAGGTTCAATTTAATGCCACAAAAACACAGACATCGGTTTTCTCCAAAAAGATAAATGTCTCCAAACCAGATATGATAATGCCAGAACAGACAATTCCGTTTTCTGCTTCGATAAGTTTGTTGAAATGGACACCAACATGTCTTGGCACAATCTTGTCGCTGGAATTGCAAAGGCTGCTTCTCAAAAGCTTCTAACACTGTTCCGAACCAGAAAACTGTACACACCTCAGCAACTTTTGATGCTTTATAAAGCTCAGATCAGACGTTTGGAGCTCCGCCCTTAAGCGTACCCAGAAAAGAGCCATTCGCCTGATTGGAGACGCGAACATCACTTGCAACCTTGATAGTCTAGAACATCGCAGAAAAGTTCGGGGATTTGTTCGCTTTCATAGATACTTTCACGGGAAGTGTTCAAGTGATTTGGCACATTTGATTCCAACAAAAGTGGTCCATATCAGAAATATGGGACGGACTGTGGCTGCTCATCGTTTTGAGGTTCAACTCAGTAACACTCGAACTTCACTGTTTAAGAACTCCTCCGTTTGGAGAACTGCTTTAATGTGAAATAACCCTTTTGAAAACAGTTTTCCAAATGAATTCAATCTCCAGCGATTTAAATCCAATGTGAATCGCTATTTCCGCATAGGCACCGCTCTTAGAGCGCATCAAGGATTTTCCTGTAGTGCTTGTGTTTCGTACTTAAAAAAAGCGTGGAAAATATGAATTTTTCCTCATATTGTCTCATCAATAATCAATAACGTTTTCATCCGTTATCAACTGCATAACATCAAATTGATAAAATAGAAAGATTCGAGATATCGCTTGATCTCTAACCTTATTTTATATCTAGACATGATTTCATCTCACTCCACGAAATACAATTTGACAAGCCTTGCAATTTTTTGTAAACTGGCACCTTGTATTAGCATCATATCGTGCAAATTCGTATTATTCAGACACCCGGTAAAAT